AACAGAAGGAGGCGGAGAAGTGAGTGTGTGTGTGTGTGTGTGTGTGTGTGTGGGGGGGGGGGTGTGTGTGTGTGAGAGATTAAAATAGCCCAATTGCTTTTACAATAAATAAACATTGAATGTGTTTAATTGATTAGTAAAGGGGTTTAACGTTAGTGGCAGGTTGTGTGTGAGAGAGAATAAATAAGACAGCCCAATATTTAAAAAAATTGTTATTCTTTTCTCCCGCATTTTTAGCCTATTTCGCAACTTTCCGCATATTTCCTAACTTCCCGCAATTTCACCGCATAAAATCACATAAAACCCCGCATGTTTAATCGCATAATCAAGGATTTTAGCCCGCATAATCAAGGAATTTAGCCCGCATAATCAAGGATCTTTGCCCGCGTTTTTCTGGAGGGTCTAAAAGGCATCTAAGATATTCTGGAGGGTTGCTGATTTAAAACTCAAAGTATCATTGATTAAAGGCAAGGCATGAATCACATACACAATATGCTTGTCATAGATGCACCTCCCTGATATCAATAGCCGCTTTCACACCAAGTACTTAGCCGGTACTTGTTTAGTCCCTGGAACTGTCCTAGTAGATCGCGTTCTCACCGGAATAAGTCCCTGAGGGCGGATTAGGCAAATGAAGCCGCTGACGTAACTACTTCTTCTTCTTCTTCTTCTGCTTTGGGTTCACAAAACTTTTCGGAGTTTTACGGGGCGTGGTTTGCAATTCGCCCAGCCAATCAGAAATGGTTAGTGTGGCACACCCACACCCACGAACCATTTTTCCTCCTCAGGAAAGTACTACCTCGCAAGCAGGGACTATCTGGGGGTGAAAAGGTTTGTGCGAACTAGGGACTAGTTCCAGATCCTTTTTGGTGTGAAACCAAATCTCCCCCCTATCGGCCTAGTTCGGGGGGAAAAGTACTCCAGTGTGAAAGCGCCTAATGATGATTGAAATGCTGCCCAACCAGAGCTTATACACAAATGAGACATTGACTCACAATTCACGGTTCAGGTATTCATCTTCATCTCAGATATATAGGTTGCCCAAGAAAAGATTGATAGGTTTTCCCTTTTGTTCCGCTGCAGAAGCATCCGTTCTTCAGGCATATCAACTGGGATGACCTGCTGAATAAGACCGTAGAGCCGCCTTACAAGCCACAGCTGGTAAGTGACCCATTATGTTTTCAAATAGCTTGTTCAATTAATATTATGCTTGGTATTCAGTGCTACTAGGTTAAATGTAGTCATTGTACAATAATCTTATTAAATAAATGTATTGTCTATCTAACTTTGTGGCGACATCTGTTTTCCTGTGTGTTCCCTGTAGCAGTCAGACGAGGATGTGAGCCAGTTTGACACGAGATTCACCCGACAGACCCCAGTGGACAGTCCTGACGACACAACACTTAGCCACAGTGCAGAGCTCGCCTTTGCTGTGAGATTTATTTTCTTATGGATTCTTATGGGGTGCAGTGATGATTTTTCTTTTTTAGGCCAACCCAGAAGTTAGCTTCTCAAGGGCTCCCTTGACAAAAAGCAATGGGATTGATATGATATTACTTGTTTTGTTTAACAGGATAATCTCCACATAATAATCCCACTTTTTGATTTTTAAAGTGCAAATGCAATGGGCAAATGTAAAAAGTTAGCGTTAGGCTATAAACGTCAATGTTGCATGGCTGTGCATCACCACCGCCGAGCTAAAGGTGGTCTCGTGTTGGTGTCATGACATTCAGTAGTCTCATTTAGTCACTTGTTAACAAACTCAGTTTTTACGACGCATAGAACCCTCGGACATTTTTTATATTTTATGTCATAGAATAAAACTTGAAATTTTCTCAGGCTTGTGTTGACCACAGACCTTCTTTTAGGCTTCCTAAGAGAAACAGGTAAACAAAAAAAAACTTTACTTTGAGTAGTGGTAAAATGCTCACTCTTTCTCTTGCCCTCTCAATCTTACATTAGTCACTGCCTACTTCAGTGCACGACAGTCCTCCTTTTTTAGTATTGCATTACAAAAAACACCTGTTTTAATGAGAAATCCAATGACATTGTAGCTTTATCCATCTAATATCAATGATCCTTTCCCTTCAGGGTTTCACCTACGTGGCTCCATCTGTCCTAGAGAGTCTAAAAGAAGGCTTCTCATTTGAACCCCGAACGCGCCCTGTACGCAGACACAACAGCAGCCCACGCACACCCATCAGGTAACACATACACACACACACACGCACACGCACACACACACAATGTAAATACACACACACACACACACACAATGTACATACACACACACACACACACACACACACACACACACACACACACACACACACACACAACCAGTCACACACACACACACACACACACACACACAATACACACACACACACACACACACACACACACACACACACACACACACACACACAAGACAAAGTATTTCTTACCGCTCTCCTTTACGCATTTTGTTAACATTTGAAAGGTGAAAAAACTTAAAACAGAAAAATTCTTTGGAGATTGAACTTAGTGTGGTTATGTTTAGTCATTTGGTTCGTGGTTTTTTTTGACGGGGTAAATGATACTGTTACAACTTAGACTGTTCCTAAAACATAGCGTCCGACCGACAAACTTTTCTAAAGAGGAGTTAGAGCCACCAGGCGAAGACGAAGAACAAAGAACGGCCTCAGGCGCTAGCCGACTGACCGGGGAGGCAAAAAAGTCACTCCGTGCTGACTTCGACGACCTCCGCTCCACCCCCCCCTTTTGTAGCCGAGAGACAGGTACGACCAGAACTTTCCAGGACGACTCCTTTTAAAAGTAGTCCTGGACGTTTCTTTGTCTTTCTTTTTCTGTCTCTTCATCTTTCTAGATTCAACAAGTTTTCTTTTCCATAGTAGAAATACTGTTGT